TCCCCCCGAGCGAATCCTCGCCCGGTTGCCAGGCACCTTCCCTCCCTCTCCCCGAGCAGCTCACCACCGTTCGGCACCCTCAGGCACTTGGACGCTCTCAACGACCCCACAGGCCTCCCCTCCCTCTCCCCTCCCCCCCACGCACACATTCGGCCACTGCTCTCTCTAAGCACCGAGTACGCAACATGCCCTCCCCCGCTCCACCCCTCGCGCCATCCCCCCCCCCCCCATCTTGTGTGCAGGCCCGCGTGTGCTTCTTGCCTTCCTCCCTCGCGCTCCTCTCATCTCCAAATGGGATCGAGCTCCCCTGGGCGCGGCTCTCCGCCTCGAGGCGGTCGGCCCCTTCGCAGCGGCCCGGCCCTGCGCCATGTGTCACACTGGCATCACACTCCCCTCATGGATCCGCCACCGTGTCCGGGCAGGCGCGCATGCGCGCCTGCCGACCGATGTCAGGGCCCCCGGCGCTCTTCCTCTCGCTCCCCGATGGCGGTGGCACTCGCGCTGCATGGCATTTTCTGACTCGTCTCTTCCCTCTTCCCCTCCCGCCTCCTCTCTTTGTTGTGGCCCGGCGCGATCGGTCTTGCTCTAGATTGTCCCCCATCCGCAGGTTCGTTTCCCTCTCCCCACCCCTCTTCCACATCTCCTCCCCATGTCATGGCGAGACATGGCCGCGACGACAGCGACGACAGCGACGACAGCGACAGCAAGAGCCATCATCCAGAGCAGCAGCATTCTCTCCCATCAGCGAGTACAGTGTGGGCACGGGGGAGCTGCCGCTTGTTGATGCAGCACAGTATGGCCCCCTTCTCCCCTTTCTCACATGCGCGCGGTGGGATTCTCCTCTCGAGTTCCCTCTGCGCGTGCCTATCCCTTTCCTGGCAGGGCGTTCACATTGTCATAGTGTGATCCTCGCAGCCTCTCTGTGCCACCGGGCGTCGGCGGGGTGTCCTTTCGCGGCTGGCCGCCCGTGCGCGCGGGTGCTTGATCCGCCACTCCTGCGCCACTCCATCGCCTTGCGTTTCTCAATTTCGCTTTCCCCAGTGCCAGTGTCCTCGTGTCCCCCTTGTGTCCTGTGCTCTGCGTGTGAGGGGGCGACGCGACCGGATGGGGGTGGTCCCTTACGACCGCTTTCGATCGGCGGCGGCCTGCTCACATGCATGCACACGCACGCTCCTTCCCACTCTCCTCTCTTTGCTCCTCGGTGAGATGTGGGGGGGGGGGGGGGGGCGGGGGGGGGGGCGGCACATTCGTCTCCGATGTCACACATGTGTCTCTTTCTACTCGCTCGCCTTCTCTCCCTTTCGTTTGCTGGCGCATCCTTCCGTGTGCCCCCTCTCCATCCTCCGGTTATGGTTGGTGGTCGGCCATGATGATCGGCCGTGGTATTTTCATTTGTGCCATCTTCCTCCCTTCCCCCCAGTGCTCTTGTCTCCTTATCCGATTGTGTCTCCTCCTTACTCTCGATGGTGAGGGGGGGGGAAGGGGGCGACACACGCGTACGTGGCTGTGGTTCTCTTGCCTGTCCTTTAGTGTGTGGCGTGCATGTTATGCACCTTTGTCTGTCTGTATGCCTGGCGGCGCGCAGCCCCCTCTCTCCCACCATCCGTCGGGACGACGATCACAAATCAGCAAATGGAGTGGAGAGCGAGAAAGCCCGACACATGGGGCTTACTTGAGACCCGGCGCGTCTGTGTGTGCTGTGCATATGTGCGCGCGTGCTCCCTCTCTTTCTCTCCATCGTCTGTTTTTGTGGTACGTGTGTCTCTCACCCCCCCTCCTGGATGCGAGAGCAAAAATGGGCGCATGCGCGGAAATCATTTCCACAATGTCGCATATCACACCCTCCCGGTGTCACATGACGTGTACATCCCAGGCGAATAGCGTTCCTATGCCGTTATTCTGCTGTCTCATTTTTTGTGAGTGCGCAATGTGTGTATGCGCGTCTTTCGGCTGACTAGCCGGTCGCTCGCGCGCGCGCGCGCGCTCCTCTCTTCTCGCCAGAACCAGAGAGAGAGAGCAGCGCTTCCCTGAAGTGGGGCTGGCGGCCCTCGGTTCTTTTTTTTTCTTTCTGCCGGGGAACACCCGTGCGCACATATGCCAGCCTTTGCCGTTTTATTTTCCCTTCCGTCTTTTAGTTTGGGGGTCGGCCGTTCGCGGCGCTGCACCAACCCTAGCTAGGGTAGGGTTGGTGCATTCTTTGTTGCCGCTTTTTATTTTCTTTCTCCACCCGCGCGAGACCGGGGCTTGCCTGTCCTATGGTCCCTGACGCTAGGCTTCTTTACCCCGCCTTGGGGCTGGGGGGGGGGCCTGGGTTCGTGCCCGCAACACGGTGCCCCGTGTGTGGGCCTCCGTGTCCTTTTGTCTCTACCCCTTCCCGGTGTCATCCTTTCCCCTTTCTTTCTTTCTCTCTCTCTCACCCCCCTTGGGTGTCACTGTGTGTGTGTGTGTCCCCATTCGCAAGTGGTGCAGTGTCTCTGTTCTTGTCGTCCCCCCCCCCCCCCGTTTTCAGTTACCGGGCCTGCTCTCCCCACTCGGGCTAGAGTCTACAAGGCCTTTTGGTTGTTTGCACTCTCTTTCCCCCCCCCACCCCCTTTTGCGTGTCATCCAGCCACCCCTCTCCTCATTGCCGGTCAGAATGTCTCGCTCTCTGATGTTCGCCTCGTCGTTCGCGTCGCGCGTCGTCCGCGCGCCCTTCGGTTCCCTGCCGTCGATGTTCCAGTCGCTGAACGTCTCCTCCACCAACCCGGTGAGCTCCCAGCAGTCGAATCCCTTCATGGTCAACTCTAACCCCACCACTCGTGCTACGACCAACAGCACTACCACCATGTCCGACACTGCCAGCATTTCCGAGTTCATCCGCCAGCTCCCCCCGCCCACCGTGCAGGAGGTGCTCGATGTCATCGGCAAGCGCCCCAACCCCTCGGCCTACATCACCTTCACCAAGTGGGCCCTCCAGCAGATCCCCCAGGACCGCAAGGTCCGCTCGCTCCTGAGCGATGTCGCTGCTTGCTGGCGCGAGCTCGGCCCGGAGCGCCGTGAGGTGCGTCATGCTGCCGCGCCTTCCTTCCTTTTTTTTGTTGGCCATGTCGTGGCCTGTGTGGCGGCCTGGCATCGTCTGCCTCCCTTCCTTTCCTTCCTTCTCCCTCCCCCCGCTAACCCCCCCATTCTCAACGTCGCCCCATCCCTTCCCCCTCCCCCCCTCTCTCTCTCTTCCCCCCGCTATCCAGGTCTTCGACCAGGCCAACAAGATTGTCCACGAGGACCCGGATGCCATCTGGTTCACCGTCAAGCGCTCGGATGTCCTGGCTTACCTGAAGAAGCACGGCACCGCCCGCCCCCGCTCCGCCTACCTGATCTTCGTCACCCGCAACTACCAGCAGGTGAAGGAGAACGAGGAGAAGGTCCTGGTTGATGGTGTCCTGCAGCCGGCCGTCGGTGGCAAGGCCGCCGCCTCCCGCCGCATGACCGAGCTCGCCTCCATGTGGGAGACCACCCCCGACAAGGCCACCTACGAGGCCGAGGCCGCCGAGCAGCGCGCCACCTTCGAGAAGCTCGTCAACGACACCATGGTCCAGCTGACCGCCCGCGTTCAGGATGAGCCCGAGCTGGTCAAGGAGCTGAAGGAGCTCCGCACTGCCCAGCGCAACCGCACCAAGAAGCGCAAGGCCCGCCGTGCCCGCGCCAACGCCGAGGAGGGCGAGAGCGACGAGGAGGATGGCGACTTCGACGACGACGAGAAGGAGAAGTCCCCCACCCCGGAGAAGAAGCCCCGCAAGACTGCCAAGAAGTAAGTGAAACCCGCTTATTCGCTTTCTCCCTTTCCCGTCTGTGCGCTTTTGTAAGAGTAGGCGGCGCGGTGCGCCCGGCCATGCGCGCGCGCGCGCGCCTTGCGTGTGCTTCCCTTCTCCTCTGTCTCTCTCCTTCCCCCCTGCTGTGCGCGCATGTGTGCGCGTGATGAAGCGCGCGCGTGCGTGTGTTTCTCCCTCCCCTCCCCCCCTCGTTCTCTGTGTCCCTTCCCTGTGGCTCTCTCTCTCTCTCTCTCCCTCGCCTTCCATCGCGCTGTGTCGCAATGCAAGGGTGGGCGGGGGCGTGTGTTGCAGCTACCGAGTGGCAGGTTACCGTTGAGGCCGGTGCGGACGGGGGGGATGGGTGTTCATTCCGGCCCCGGGCACGGAGAAACCCAAAAGAGAGCCGACCTCTCCTTCTTCCCCCCTCCCGCGCTTGTCGAGGGAGGAGGAGGAGGAGGAGAGGGGCGCACGCGCGAGCACACGCACGCACACACATTTTCTCCACACGCGCGCCGCCCAGACGTGTGCGCGCGCGCTGGCCATGGAAGGGGGTGTTGAAACCCGGTTCTTGTTCCTCCCCTCCCCCCCCGGTGTCCCGGTCCCCCCCCCCCCCCCCCCACCATGCGCAGGCTACACTCTCTCTCCCCCCCTGTCCTCTCCCCCTGTCTCCCCCGTAAAAATTTACATGGTCCTTGAGTTTCCTCCCACCTCCCCCGTGTGCTGCTTTTTCCCGTGTGTCTGTGTGTGTCTTGTTTGTGGCGACGCGGCCATGCGCGCTCTTTGCTGTGTGGGTTTCCTGTCTTGCATCAGCGCGCCGTGTTCGGCGCTTTGCTTACGCGCGTTGTCCCCCCCCCTCTCGGTCTGTGGGTGTGAGGGCATTTTTTTTGAAGGGGTGGGGGTGCTTGCACCGATGGAGAAAAAGGCGAGGCCTGCGCGGGGCATAAAAAGAATGGAGGCGGAGGGTATCGATCCCCCTGCCTGCCGCATGCTAAGCGGCCGCTCTACCATTTGAGCTACGCCCCCAGATCTTGCTAGGAGGCCATCCCGGAGACCTTTTGTCTCCACGCGGATTGCCTCGTGCCCGGGCTGCGCGCTCTTCGGTCCTCACTGGCAGTCCCGATCCTCGGCCAGCCAGGGAGCCTCCCCCCCCCGGGTGCAGGTCCCAGGATTGGTCCCTGCACCGGTGGCATTGGTGGGCGGCGCACCCTTGGGGACATGCGCCCCAAGGCGGGTCCGGCGTCACCCCGAGTGCGGCTGGCGTGCCCTGAGAGAACACATCGTCCCCGTGCCGGATTCCGCGGCGTCCTGCCCCCTCGCGCCGGGTTTCCCCCGAGGGCGGCGGGGGCGGGTGTCGCCTTCTGGCCCAGGCCAGAGGCACGCCTGGGACTTTGCCCGGCCTCGCGTGTGTCCCCACTCGCCGGACAGGCCCTCGTCCCCGGGGCCAAGCTGTTTGCTTCCGGGCTCCGCACCCACAACCGAGCCAAGATCCCGACCAAAAACACGCGGCCCTGCGCTGGCGGGGCTTTTGCCTGCTTCGGGCACTTGCCCCCCTCCCGACTCCCCTCTCGACTCCCCTTCCCCGCTCCCCCTTTCTCGCCCGCCGATTGATGATTGGGAACCCCTTTCCGCCGCCGGAGGACCACGTGCATGTGGCGCACTCGGCGGCTCGCCTCCTCCGGCGCCTTTCCGCCACCTACACCCCGGGACAGGTGCTTGAGACGGCCTGCGCCCGGGCCCACCTCGGTCATTGGGAGGACTTCCACCATGCGTGTGCCCTCTTTGTGGCGGTCCTCAACGGAACAATCCCCGGGGCCGGACCGTCCGGCATCGGCATACGCCAAGCCACCCGCGCCCTGGGACAACTTGCCCGGCCACCGGTCACCGACGCCGCCGCCACCCCGACCGGCACCGGCACCGGCACCGGCACCGGCACCACCGCCGCTGCTTACTCTCTCGACCCAAGCGCTGCCTGGCATCTGTTCGAGTGCACGCGCGCCTACTTTCACAGCCGCCCGGCGGAGACCCACCTTCTGGCCTTCGCTTCTCAGGCCGCCTCCCCGGCGACGCCCGGCGGCACTTCGCCAGCCTGTGATGCCGGGGCGGCCTCCCTGTCCCGGTCGTCCTGCCGCTGCCGGCCGGCGTGCCCCGGCTTCCGGCTGGAGCCCCAGCCACTGGGGGCCCCCTCCGAGTCCCTGGCAAGCGCGTTGCACCGGCGCTTCCTCCACGCCATTCGCCCGCCAGAGCTGCATGCATTTGAGCGGTCAATTGCGGATTTCATTCGGCGACGAACCTTCTCCGGGCTCGGCCCGGCCGAGCTGCCGGACCTCCTGCTCTCGGCCACCCTCTGCCCGGACTTGGTGGCCCAATTGCTTGTCCAGCATGCTGGCGCATCTCCAACTGGCGCCGTGAATGCCGGCCACCTCTTCGCCCAGCTGCCCCTGCACCCGGCCCATCTGCTGGCCTGTCTCTCGGCCCCGGGGCTTCTTTGGATCCGCGGCTGCCAGCCGGCCGAGCTGGGGTCCGGCCTGGCCCTCAGCGAGCCTGCTCGCGGGCTGGGCCATGCACTGTGCCTGGCACTCGCCTGGCTGCACCTGCGTCCCACCTTCACTCGCCACTGGCTTCCCCAGCTCCTGGTGTCCCTTGCCATGCAGCTCCTTCGGGACAATGCCCACGGGCCGGAGGACCCCAAGCTGGTACTGGCCCTGCGGGCATCCCCCTCCGACCCGGTACACCTCCAGGCCGGCCCCCATGGGGACCTGCCCGCCCCGGGGCACTGGCTCTTCCTGGTTCTCAGCCAGCTGGCTCTCTCCTTCCTTGCGGGAGATCCCCTCCGGCATCCCGGCACTTCGAGGGCCCTTCGCCTTGCTGGCTTGCTAGCTGCTCTGGCTTCGTGCACGCGTTTTTCCCGCGGACTCCTGGCTCCGGGCCGCTCTGTGGCCCACGACGTCCAGCGCCTCTGGCATTTGGTTTGCTGTCCCCCGGCCGGTGCTTCGCCGGCATCCCTGCCGCCGGATGGCCGGGGCATCATCCTTGGCGACGTGCCCTTTTCCCGGCCCCCGGCCCCATGCGAGCTGTGGGCCCTGCTTGACCATGAGCCGCCCACCGATTGCCGATACTCCGGCCACATCCCGCCCGACCATTTGCCCATCCTCACGCCGGAGCACTACGATCTCACGGAATGCCTCGGGGCCGAACGGCCGGCATCCCCGCCGCCGGCCGCCGGCTCCCCGGCCCCGCCCTCGACGGCTGGCCTCCACCGGGCCTTGGTGCTGGCCCTATTGCAGCTGTATTTGGGCCGGCCTCCGGCGGCCCTCGGCCATGAGCCGCTCTTCCTGGACACTTGTCGCGCTCTGGCGCGGGCCTGTCCCCCGTCCGAGGATGCGGACATGCTTCCCCTCGTGGATCGGCCCCGGTGCCTGGCCCACGAGCTGCTTGATCGCCATGTCTCCGACACGGGCGTGGCCCTGGCAGACCAGGGATTTTACCTGCTCGGCAAGCGGCTCCTCCTTGCTCCCCTTACCGAGGGCGCTGGCTTTGGGAGCTGCTCCGCCGGCGGGGCCTGGTCCGAGGCCGCAATCCGGGCCGCGGTGGATGGGGCCCTCGCCTGGACCGGCGCACCGGCGCTCCTGCATTCGATTGACGACACGTCTGCCCCCGAGGCCCTGCTCCTGCTGTTGAGCCACTTTTCCCGGCCGGATCACCTGGCCCCCGAGCAGGCGGCATTGCTCTTGCATCGGACCACGCCCGGCGGGCCGCTTGCCAGCCTGGCCACCGCACGCTCGATCCTGCTGGAGGCCCTGGTGCTTTCTTGGCAACGCCAGTGCCATCGGTCCTCCGGGCCACGAAGCATGGATGCACCTGACCCGGCTGAGGAGTGGCTACTGCGTGCCCTTCGTGAGAATCAGCTCTCCCTGGCGGCGGCAGCGGCAGCGCCCGGAGCGAAGCCCCCCCGGGCGACCGATGACCAAAGCGCCCTGACCATTGCCTGTGCAGGCGTCGGCCGACTCTTGGACGCCGCCACGGAGCCCTTGGTCGAGGACTCGGCCATCCTGTCAACTCTGGCGCCGCTGGCGGCTGCTGGACTGACCCTGTCGGCCGATCTGGCCCGGCGCCCCGGGGCCGCCCCCATCCGCATGGCAGCTGCTCGCAATCTCCTGTCCGCCCTGGATGGGCCTCTGCTCGAACTCCTCCGCGTGCACTCGCACTTTGCCCTCGATGCGCCGGTGGCCCGGCTCCAGGCGATCGGGGCCCAGGGCAAATCGCCGGCCAACGCATGACAATATACACAATATACTGCCAACGCACCTGATCCACCAATCTCCCCGGCAAGCACAAAGGCACACGGGGGGCATGTGCACACAAGCGCACGCGGCCCAATCCATCTGTCCGCGCCCGTGCGTGTCTTCCTGGGCCCTGCCCTCTTCGATTGCCAGTCGCAGGGGGGGGGGGG